TTTCTAGCTCTGCTCCATATGTCTCCTATGCTTCTTTTGGAAACATTGAATTCATTAGCAACCTTGCTGATTATTCCTTTCTGAGCTGTGTACTCACCTGAATTTTTTTTTTTTGCATATGGTAGAATTGCTTCTACAATTCTTTGCCTTTGACTGTTTGATAGCCTGGTCCTGCATGATCTTTGTTCTCTTCGCAGGTCCTCATCTCTGCCTGGTTGAAGGACAGCAGCAGCACCCGGGATGGTCGCTGCAGCACTCGGGATGGTCGTAGTACCTGTCGAGATGCTGGCAGCAGCAGCAGCAAACACAGGAGGAGGTTCAGGAACTGGGGCAGACATTAAGGATGAAAAAAATTGGCTAGGGATTCCCTTTCTAAAAGTGGAAAGTATGCTGCTATTTATAGAATAGGCTTTGGGGGAATTTTCTGTTTTTGTTTGGGAGGGAAATTTTTAGAACTTTCCCTCCTTATTGAATATGGTTGAACATGAAATTTGTAAAAGTGGATGCCTTTGCTATTTGGGCTTAATGTACCGTGGATTGCTTCCTTTTGAGATGTTTTATTATGTTTTTTTCCTTTATTAAATCCCTTTTTTAACCTTTTTTTAGTTAGCCTTAAAAAAAATTCCTAAAATTTTTAGTAAGGGGCAAAATGGGAAGTCAAAGGTAAAAATATGGAGTCCTTAAAAATGGGAAAAAGTCAATGTGGGAAGGTGGAATTAGGACGGAGGGAGTATAAATTTATTTCTGATCTCCAACAAAAATAAATAATAAATAAAAAAATAAGTGGTAGAATTGTTTTGGAAAGGGGTCTTCGATGTTCAAACTCCTGATCGTCCCTGTAGGGGACAATCAGGAGTTTGGGTTCAATTCTATGCAGTTTAAAAATGGTTAAAAGAATATTGAAATTATTGAAATTATTGATGTTGATGCAGTTGGTCGTCAAAAGAAAAACGAACATTTTCGAACTTGCAAAATATTGAAATTATTGATGTGTATATACTTCACCGAGTCTCACAATTAAAGTTTGGGTTCAATTCTATGCAGTTTAAAAATGGTTAAAAGGTGAATAATACATGTTATAATTTCAATTATCTTTTGTTATGAGCCCATTTCATTAATTTTATTAATCTTTGACCTATAATTAAATAAAAATTAAATGATATATTAATTAAATAAGATAATATTTTGGAAATATTTTATAAATGATTCTACTAAAATTATTTTTGTAGAAATAAGTAAAATATCACTTTGATTTAATTTTTGGACAAAGTTTATCATTTTAACTACAAAGATGAAAAATAGACAAACACATATATTACTCCATTCGCTCACATACTTCTTCTCTCACCATCATTATGCATAAAAAAAGTTAGAGGTACACCAAGTTTGACCCCAACTTGTACACCGAGTATATCACATACACATATAAAAATTAATTATCTGTGTGTATCTGTGATACACTTGGTGTGCAAGTTGGTGTACAAACCTAGTGTGCCTCTAACACACCTCTCATACATATTCTCTTTCTTTGGAAGAGCTCCAAGCTCAGCTCCATTAAATGGCTTTCATGCCTATATGTTATGTACATTCACAAACACCATTATATTAAGGAGTAATAAAATTCAACTGAAATAATATTCTCCCAAAAATAACGGTGCTACAAAAATAATATTCTCCCAATATGATTTTTATTTCAAAATCAAGTGTCCTATTTTGGTGTGAAATTGATATACTTAACTCGGCCATTACCACCTAGTTAAAAATGGCGGCCTAAATATTTTACATAATTAGGGAGTATTAATTAGTGATGTACTTAATGCATTGACAAAGTTGAAAACCGTAAAATGTTAGGTTGCATTTATTTAGGAATAAAACATTAAATATTTAACTAAGATTTCACCCAAATTCAAGTTCTAGTGAGATGAGATATTTGTTTGTTGTGCGTCATTAGATTGAATATTATATACACAAATACTGGATTGTAATCGAATCAACAACACTAAAAAAATAAATTTAGCTATTATTTCTTACAATAATAATAATACAACAACAATAAAACCTTATCCACTAGGTAGAGTCGGCAAAACAATTATATTAAAAGAAATCACCCTAAATAATACTCCCTTCGTCCCAAATTATAATGTCTGTTCACTATTCACAGGGTTAAACTTTATTTACTTTCTTTCTCAATTTTCGTTAGTAATTTGATAAAATAAAGTACTATTGTCACTACTAGTTTTGTAGATCTTTTGATGTAGTATTTTAATATGTAATTTTTTTTTAACTCTATAACATTTGTCATATAAAATGAATTGAAAAAATAATTTCAGTCAAACATCGTAAACCGAAACAGGCGTTATAAAATGGGACGGAGGGAGTAGTAAAACATAGAGAAAATATTAAAATAGGAGTTTCATGTTTTTATTTGCGTGAATAGAAGTTTGTATTGTGATAATGTGACACTTTACATGTACATTTTACTTTACTTTTTGGTAATGTACATGATTATGATTGATAATGTAAATGCATTTTAACTCCTATTTCAAGAATAAAAAGAGTAAATTCCATAATTGGTCCTTTATAACAGGGGGGTTTCCATATTTAGTACTCTATTATCAAATATTACCCCCGTAGTCCTTTTTTTAAGGGTGCCTTTCCACAAATGGTCCTTTTTTAATCTTACGCCATGTGGGTGTTAATTTAAAGGCTAAAAGTATAATTTGACATCAACATTATGTCTAGTGACGTGTTCTAATACTGGTTAAACGGATAACACAAAAATAATGACTATGATTGTGGGCTAGAATTCCGATGGAAGACCACATTTATAAACTATGATTGTAGTAGAAAGCGAATATAATTCACAAACGACACAAAGTGAACAACCTTATGAATTGTGTAGACAAAAAAGATATATTATCATTGTGAAATTACATTTTTTGCCTTCAAATTAACTCCAACATGATAGAAGAACAAAAAAAGGACTATTTGTGGAGAGATACCAATAAAAGAAAGACCACTGGGGTAATATTTGGTAATAGAGGACTAAATAGGGAAACCCCCCTGTTATAAATGACCAAATATGGAATTTACTCGAATAAAAACATAGAACTCCTATTTTGGTATACTTTCAATGTTTTACTCCTACTTTAGTCTTTTTCTCTAATACTAATAATAATAGTAGTACTAGTATTATAACAACAACAATTACAATATAAAAATAATAACAACAACAAAATCATCATCATCAATACTTGGATAGAAAAATTACAAAAGATCTCGTTCATCATCAATAAGCTTTATCGAAATTAAATAAATTTATTACTCATTAAGTTAATTTTCAAATTAATGAAAAAAGTAAAACATTAGTAACATTCATGATCAATAATAACATAAGGAGCTCAAGAAGAAAAATGTCAGTTCTTTTATTTTCACTAAATATTACTCCCTACTCTGTATATAATGAGATGCTGCTCTTCTTCTGACCCACACTCCACACTTAGACAAATCCAAGACTCAGAAGTATGAGGAAAGATCCATTTTCGCAATGCGTTTGTTGTCTGTCTGGTCTACTGATTTTGCAGCCACATCAGTTCTTGGGGCATAGATGCGACATTGGTGGTCGATCGGGTGTGTTCTGAACTGGTTCCGTTTTTGCATTCAGCAATGCCTCTAGAGGTCTTAAACATTCCCAGCTCTTCTAAGTTCTTCTTATGAACATGTCAAGTCAAACTCGCCAGCTCCTGCATCTGTCATTGTTACCAGCAAGGCCTGCAACACAGCTTCTAGAATACCCTTCTGTGGGTGTGACACATCTGAAGAAGAGAACACATTCGTCTTGTTCCCCATGCCCTCTAACCAGCTAAACCCGGGATCTTTCTCAATCTCCATATCTTTCATCTTTCTCCTTGTTTCTTTGACACTGTCCCATCTTCCAGCTGCAGCGTAGAAATTCGAAAGCAATATGCTTGTTGCACTGTCGTCCCCTGTGTCCAGTCTCAAGACCTGCATAGCTGCCCGGGCACCTACCTTAAAATCTCCATAGCAAATGCAAGAGCGCAGCAAAACTTTCCATACTTGAAGAAGAAGAAGATGGTGATGGTGATGATCGCCAAATGAAGATTCTTGAGTAATGATGATCTCCTCAACTTCCTCTAGTAACCCTGCCCGGCTTAATAGTGCAATCATGGAAGAAAAGTGTTTGAGCCCCGGGTTAATCCCTCTTTCCTTCATGCAGTTCCAGAAATGCTTTGCTTTGCTGATCAAACCGCAATGGCTACAAGTGGAGAGCAAAGACAAAAATGTGACCTCGTCTGGCTCCAGGTCGTTGTTTATCATCTCATTGAAAGTTGTGAATGCGTCTTCGGGCTGCCCGTGGTATCCATACCCTCCAAGCAATGCATTCCAACATTTTAAATCCGGTTCGGTTGCAAGAGAAAACACAAGTTTTGAAGATCTAAGTTCTCCGTTTTTGGCATACATGTCCACAAGATTCCCACACACACTCATTTCAGAACCATACCCTTTCTTCACAACCAGGCAATGAACCACCTCTCCCTGTCTCAGAGTTGCTCCTTCAGCACAAGCGTTGAGAACCGCACTCAGAGCGAAACTATCAATATCCAGACCGTTTCGGAATATTCCATGGAAGAATCTGAGAGAACCATTGGTGTCACCAATTCTACAATGGCCAGCTATCATGGCAGTCCACATAACCAAATCTTTCTCAGAAGCTGAATAAAATATCTTTTGGGCTGATTCGGGATCTTCGTTGCAAAAGTACATTGCTAACAATGTGCTCCCAACATACGTGCTACTCGCGAGTCCTGCCTTTGCAACTTGGGCATGAAGTGGCTTCCCATAATAACCCGAAGGAAATGCACTAGTGGCAGAAATGACAGCTGCAAAAGTATATTCATCTGGTTGGCCGAGAGACCTTCGTGCGAACTCGACAAACATTCTCATTGCATTCTCTCCATCTCCGTTCTCTGCATATCCCGATATCATTGAGTTGCATGATATTGAATCCGGGTTTTCAATCCTTTTGAAGATATTAAATGCCATTACTGTGTCACCACAATTACAATGCATATCAAGAAGAGCATTGTGTAAAGGCAAGTCAGCATTAACAGTGGATATGATCAATTGGGCATGAAGAAGTTTCCCGGTGTGATAATCTCTCAACCTGCTACATGCACTCAATAATATAGAGTAGGTAAATCGTGTGGGACTAACATCAGTCTTAAGCATGGCTTTGAAAAGATAAAAACTTTGTCTGAGCTCACCATTTTCTATATGCCCAAGTATCAAAGAATCCCAAGCAAATGAATCTTTGTGATCCATACAGCGAAAGACTTTGATTGCGCGGTCCAAATCGCCACAGTTCGAGTACATACCCAGTAGAGAAGTCTGAATCCGAACATTGATCGAGAAGTCTAAATTTTTCAGACACTGGGCATGGATCACAGAGCCCAAAGTCCGGTTCTTTAAGGTAGATGAAGCTTGTAAGAGGCTAGTAAAGGTGGAAGCATTCGGGACGAGTCTCTCGTCTTGCAATCGTGCCAGTAATTGGAAAACCAAGATACCCAGACGAGAGAAAGAAGAATATGACGAAATTAGGGCATTATAAGTGACTACGTTTCTCTGGGGCATATGATCGAACAGATCCCGAGCATCCTTAAGGGATCCGCATCGCGCGTACATGGAGAGAATGTTGTTGAATATATACGGTGACTTCGAAGCTGTGGGCGTGGACGCGACGATGAGGCCATGGATCTCCCGCGCTTTCCTGAGAATTTTTATGGAGGAGCACCAATGAACCAGGACTCGGAGACCTGTTATGGAAGAAACATCAAGAGAAGGTGGCATACAAGAGAACCGTTGTCTGGCTGTTTAATGATTTTTTTGTCACTTCTTTAATCATCCACTCTACAAACAAGAGGAATTTTTTTTGTGAGAGAAAAAAAGAAAGTTTTGTGCATTTTACTCCATTGCATTTATTCTATGCATTAATATAGTCGTACATTGCTTAAGTAAGGAAAAAAATAGAATGTTTTGTGCATCTTACATACTCCATTGCATGTATTCTATGCAAGGAAAAAGCTATGTGTTACACCACTGGTACACCATACATACCCTCCTTAACTTTCCATACCCCTCCCCCTCCTCCATCTCTCCCCCCCATCTTTAATTTCCATAACCCCTGCTCTCTCTCTATCAGATTTCTTCGACGAAGCAGGGAGCGAGCGACTACCGGAAGAGCAGCCCTTCTCCCCGAGCTCCTCTTTCGTCTTCCTCGTTCTTCCTCTGCAGCAACCCTACTTTGCCATCCTCTATCAAGTGCATCGGTGGAAGATCCAACTTTGCAAAGAGCGCCTCCTTCGTCTTCTTCGATTTTTTGCACCCATCCGGCCACTGTAAAACAACAAATTAAAGGTAATAATAAATACTTATATTTCAATTTTAGGGTTTTTATTTTGTAAATCCATATTCAATCGCTCAATCCTTCCCTTTTGTGAAATTAGCCTTTGTTTATGTTTCTTGTGAATCATTGTTTCTTGAACTTGTTCAATTGTTTATTTCCTTTTTGAATCTTTTCACTTGCAAATTTTTCATTAATAACATGTTGTAATTGGGTATTTTTCATGTTTATTACGAAATGTCTGTGTAGTACTTCTTACTGGTGTAAAATGTTTGTATTCTAATTAAGAGTATTCGATTTCAAAACTTGTTTTGAAATGTCTATGATGCGCTTCTTGCTTGCATAAAATGTCTGTATTTAAAAAAAGAACTTGTTCTGTTTCATAAATTACTTGAAAGTGTTTGTGAAGTGTTTGTTACTGGCATAGAATGTTTGTTTTCCAAATAAGGGTGCTCAATTTCAAAACTTGCTATGAAATGTCTCTGAAGAGCTTCACTGCTTTTTATTAGTGTGAAATGTCTGCATCCTAATTAATAGTTTGCCTTATTTTAAAAGTTGTTTTGAAATGTATTTCGAGTGTGTATTATTAGCTTAAAATGTATGTATTTCATTATCACCAATATTTAAGGTTTGACAGTCAATAAATCACCGGTGTTTTACTTTGGTACAATGGCACATGAGAAATATGAATTCTACTATCTAGAAAGTGTACATGATTTATGTTTGCTTCATAAACATTCTTTATTTGTGATAAATAATAATTGTGATTGAATTACTTTTCTTGAGCATACATGGAGCTCACAAATGTTTACCGTCTGTGAATTTTTAATCACAAACACTGTGTGTCTGTAATCACTGATACTACGTATTTGTAAAGGTCTATATACAGACACTAAGTAAATTCTTTAGTTAAAATCGTTAACTTCCTGTAGAAGTGAATCTCATAGTCATAGATAGTCAATGTGTTGGTTGGAATGTATTGTTAGTTTTGATTTAAATTTGTTATTAATTTACCTATGCGTTAATTTACTTCTCATATATTTTTTTTTAGTTTTTACAATATTAACAAGATGTATTGAAGTTGTGTGCTGAAAGATTGCTTCTTGCAGACGATGGCCGAAGTCAATATTGGTGATGGCAAAGATGGAATCATCACATGTCACTAGAATTTTTTATTCTAAAATTTTGAAGGATGTAATGTTTGGTATATAAAGTTTGGGTGTGATACAATTTTGGATGTTCTCAATTCTTTTGCTTGCTGTAATGGTGGAATTGAAAAGGGAAATTTAATTCTGCTTTGTTTGTTTCTCATTCTTGAAAACAATATCTCATTGTCCTATATTATAACTTACACTTAATTGTAACTACATCTCCCCCTTTTTTACTACATCTAATTTTTGGCTCTTTGTAGTATTATTTGTTGTGTTTTATGGTCACATAGACAAAAACTGTCTTTAATTAATCAGAAATAGATGTTTACTATCTATGTAACATGTATAAAAATGAAATCCATCAAATATACCATGTAATGGAATATAAAGACTATCACTGACACCAGTTGTCTGTAATTTGAGTGATACAGACGGTAGATGTTTATGTGATAGATAATTATACACAGAAAAGCATACTCTGTACCAAATACCAAGTATCCAAAAGATCATATACCAACATACTATTCAAATAAAAATAAATAAAAAAAAGCCCTAAAAATTATATTTTAATAAGTATACTTGAGAGAATAAATTAGAAATTTGTACATTTCATGTCCCAAATAATGGTTTGGTTGATGGACAGCGACAACGGCAATAGGGTGAGAAATATCCAACTACGGTAGGTGAGAAACACCCTCCGACGACAGCACCAGCAATGTTTTAGAAGATACCCAACAACGACGGTGTGCAGGGAAAGCAGGTAGGACGCGATGAATTTCCGGCGGCGAATAAATTAAAAGTGCACTTGTCAAATATGCATAAAGTAATGTTTGGTCAAATAGACAATAAACGTTTGTAATTCATTAAAAAAATGTTTATTCTGTGTATAACCTGTATAAAAACTAATCCAACAAACATACACATAATGGAGCATAAAGAACATTTCACGATTTTCTCTAGATTGTAAAAAAAATAAAACTATAATTACCACTGTTTAGTTACATAGACACTAAATATATGTAATTCTTGATACATAGACACTTATTATCTGTGTAACCTAGATGAAAATTTCACCCGTTAAATATGCCAAATAATAGAGTATCAAGAGCATTTCACAAATTTAATTATGTTTAAAACAAAAGAAAAAACAACAATCAACGCTGTTTAGTTACACAGACACTAAAGTTCTGTAATTGTTTGAACACAGACACTTACTGTCTGTGTACTCTGAGTGAAAATTGCACCACCATCTCTGCCAAAATCAACTGCTCCGACGACGTTGAAGGCCAAGAAAGTTGCGGTGACGATCATAGAGGAGCGGGCAACGACGGAGAAGCATGTGGCGGCGAAAGAATTGAAGTCGTGGTTCGTCACCCTACTCCGATCCAGATCTCGGAGACGATGATGATGGCGCCGTTGTGACGCTTCTGGGCGGCTGCGGGGAGCCCACGTCGTGCAACTTCAGGGGGCACCGAAGATCGAGGATTCCAAAGTGCAAATTTGTGGCGGCGAAGATGAAGGTAATCACCGGCGGGGAGGAAGAGAGATACGAGATCTAGGGAGGAAGAGAGAATGAGTGAGAAAGGGAAATGATGAAGGCCTGGTGCTGCGTCGATCATCGGCAGGGAGGGAGGGAGTTGAGGGATCTGGGGAGGAAGAAAGAGTGAGGAGGAGAGATCTATGAATGAGAGTGAGGGGGTGTATATGGTGTTCATTTGTCCTCCACCCATTTCTCCACCATACAATTTTTTTTATTTTTATTTGTTTAATTTTTTTTATTTTCTTGCCTTTTTTTGTGGTGATGGAGGGGGTGGGGGACAAATGGGGTACACCTTTGGTGTAGGGGTACACCTTGGTGTACCCCTAGCATTTTTCAAATGTATAACATACTTCGTATTGAATATGTGTTGAATATGGAAAAATATATAGTGGAAAGCATGAATTTATATTGAGACATGTTCTTAATATATGGAAACATATTGAATAATATATACCCTTATTCATGGAAAACACAATTAAATTTATACTTTTAACATAAATGATTGATAAATTGGGACGGTTCATGTGACATTGCCCCGTAATGTCATGGGATGATCCAGAAGCGCTACTGTGCACCGTTCATAAAATTGACAGTTCCTACCTTCCTAACCTCCACGGTAAACTCCTCCACACACCCCGATCTGAACACACCCCCAAGTTAATTTTGACTTTGGAGTCAATTTTTGACTCCAAAGTTAAAATTAACTTGGGGCGCAATTGAAGGGGGGGAATTAGAAGGGATAAGAACCGTAGATTTAATGAACAGGGCACCATAACACCCTCGGATTATCCCATGACATGAGATTCTAATGTCATGAGAACCTATTCGTTGATAAACATAAAAGATTGATAATATGGAAACGTATAACATAATTTTTAAATATGTACATAAATACCTTTTTTAAATTAATTATTAAAATACCCCATTAATGAGAAATTAATGGAATAAATAGAAAGAAAATTAAATTTAAAAAGAAATTCAAAGTAGTATATAGAAGTGCGTGTTTCTCGAGTAACATGTGAATAAGCATTTATATTAATTGTTAAGCTTTAACTAAAAATTATTATGTTTCCATTTTTTGGTTGGAAGAATACAAAAAAATAAATAGTGTATGTACCAATAAGTTTCCATTTTTATTAAAAGGCTACGCTGATAAAAAAAATTACAAATTTGAAAATACAAAAAGAAATTAAGTTTAAAAAAATGGCAAAGTAATATATAGA